AATTATATGTCAAATGAAACCATATTTCAAGGACAAAATCAAAAGAAAGACATTATCAAGCTAACCTGGGAGATTTCCGCAACAAAACCCGTCACTATGAATGTTCTTAGGGATGTACTTTAAGAGAAAGAAGAATGATCCCAGAAGGGAGTTCTGAGAGGCAAAAAGGAATGATGAGACTATAGGTAAAGACTATGGGAAAATATGGGGCTTCCCTGATAGCTCAGCTGGTAAAGAATCTGCCTGCAATGCAGGAGACCCCAGTTCGATTCCTGGGTTGGGAAGATCCACTCCAGTATTCTGGCCTGCAGAATTCCATGGACTGTATCCCATGGGGTCACAAAGAGTCGGATGTGACTGAGCAAATTTCACTTTTCATGGACAAATACACAAACAATATTGCACATATAAAATAACAATGTCTAATTGAAGTGTCAAAAATATCCAATATAGAAATAAAATCATGGGGAAAAAAGAACCTAAAAATCGGGATTCATGTATCTGCTGTAATGGACATACTCTTCTACATGCCAGGCCCTGTGCTCTGTATTCCTTAAGTCTTACATCACTTAATCCTCCCAAGCACCTTCCAAGGAAGGTGGTGTTATTAGCCTGTTGAGAAAACACACATAGCCAGGAAGTATCAGCTGGGACTTAAGCCAAGTCTATTTGATTCTGAGCCTCTTCTCTCAAGCAGTCTACCACACTGCTTTCACTGGTAATATTTGTTGTGAAAAATATAGGCAAGTGTAAAGAAAATACAGACATGTGACGTAGGCAAGTGTAAAGCCAAGAACTCCCCTGCATCATCACTGTCATATGTATAAATACACACACGCATAACTTTGAAAAAATTGGGATAACCACTGTTTTGCATCACAGTTAATATCACTAAGTAATATAATATTTTAAATATAATCATCTTGCTCTTTATTTTTGGAGCAAATTTTTTAATGGTTCATTGTATAGTGTTTTTTTAACCTCTTTATTGTTCAGTTGCTTATTTGTGTCTGACTCTTTAAGACCCCATGGACTGCAGCATGCCAGGCTTCCCTGTCCTTCACCATCTCCCAGAGTTTGTTCAGACTCATGTCCATTGATTCGATGATGCCACCAACTATCTCATCCTTTGTCACCTGCTTCTCTTCCTGCCCTCAGTCTTGCCCAGTATCAGGGTTTTTTCCAATGTGTCAGCTCTTCACATCAGGTGGAGCTTCAGCTTCAGAATCAGGCCTTCCAATGAATATTCAGGGTTGATTTCCTTTAGGATTGACTGGTTTGATTTCCTTTCAGTCTAAGGGACTCTCAAGAGTCGTCTGCAGCGCCACAATTTGAAGACATCAATTTTTCTGGAGTTCAGCTTTCTTTACGGTTCAACTCTCACATCCAAACATGACTACTGGAAAAACCATAGCTTTGACTAGACGGACCTATGTCAGCAAAGTGATGTCTATGCTTCTTAATACACTTTCTAGGTTTGTCATAGCTTTTCTTCCAAGGAGCAAGCGTCTTTTAATTCCATGGCTGCAGTCACCATCTGCAGTGATTTTGGAGCCCAAGAAAATAAAGTCTGTCACTGTTTCCATTTTTCCTCATTTTTGCCATGAAGTGATGGTACCAGATGCCATGATCTTAGCTTTTTGAATGTTAAGTGTTACTTTTCACTCTCCTTCTTCACCCTCATCAAGAGGCTCCTTAGTTCCTCTTCACTTTCTGCCATTAGAGTGGTATCAGGTGAATATCTGAGGTTGTTGCTATTTCTCCTGGAAATCTTGGTTACAGTTGGTGATTTATCCAGCCTGGCATTTCACATGACATACTCTACATAAAAGTTAAATAAGCAAGGTGACAATATACTGACTTGACATACTCCTTTTTAACATCTTTATCCCTATACTTCTGTATTCTACAGTATTCACTGTTAATTTTTGTTAGATGTGAAGATAATCTGCTCAATACTTTTATTTTCTCAAACTTGAAATGTAGTAAGAGAAGTGGATGTCTATTCTATTGCTGACTATACATTTTTTGTTCTAGAGATCTTTTTCAAATAAACATTGCAATCACATGATTCCAAAATTATGTGCTTCAAAGCAGATTTGGGATACAAAATGTGGATTTTCAAAACATGTAAATTAAATAGTTATTCTTGATGAAAGTCTTTGCTTTATGACAAAAATGACTTGTATGTTTTCTTTCACATAAACTGTTTTCTTAGAATATAGAAATATCACTTCCTTTATGGAAATTAGACTCATGTGGAACTTTTAATAGAAACGCAGTTATGACTTTTAAAGAGATGTGTTTGTATGTACACACACGTCTGCATACAAATATATATTTCAGTCTCAACCCAGAGATTGATTAATATCATTATATTATTACAATGTATGTAGTAAAATCTCATCAATTCAAATATACCATTGATTTAAAACTTCGATTTGAAAAATACAAGTTAGAGGAAGAAGAAACCAATATGGGGTATGTATGCTTGCTTCTGCAATCCCATAATGCCTTGCACAAAGCACATCAACTTGTTTCACTTTACTTTTGAATACTTACTTATGGTTTGACGAGTATAAAATGCCCATACACGAAAGTAACAAGACGGAGTACTAACACTGAACGAACCTTTGAACAAATATGAATAGTCTCGTCCACACTTCTCCTTTTCACCACCCAAACCATCACCTGAAATAGTTAATTTTGTAACCATGTGTTTATCGTAACCTACTAGTCACAGAGACCATCTGCGGTCAATTATTATTCCCAAGAGGTCTCCTCTTGGCGTCACTCATCTCTATGGGCCTGTCCGCCCTTTTACCCGGAGCTGGTTAGTGCTCGGTCTGTGCAAAATAACTTTATAGTATCTTAAGCAAAATAAAGAAAAGTAATCATGCTGCAGAGAATGAGAGACTTGCTTCTAAAACCAAGTATGAACTCACCTGGTGGGGCGCAGGGGGAGCTGCGCGGAGCGCGGAGCCTGCGTTGTCCATTAACGCCACCCCCACGCAGGCTCCCGCGGCTCCGCCTCCATTCCCAAACTTCGCGCACTGCCCTCCTGTTTCTGCCCTCCCGCCTGAGAGAATCTCTTTGAACCTTTGATTTAAAGCAGGCGTCCACTGCCACCCTCGGACCGCCTCCTGCTAGGTCGCAGTTGTCCCGGTAACAGCGTGTCTGAAGGGAGAACCGGCTCTCCGGAGTTTCCACGGAAACCACTCCGGGCAGAAGCAGGTGCGGCGGGCGCAGCCGGGCGGCGCTGGAAGGCGCCCTCGGGGCGGGACCCGGAGGACCGCCCCTGCGCCTGGTGTGGGTTACATATGCACCGCATATGCACTACCTTCGGTGGGCTATTTCATTCGCAGAACAGAACCACTAATTCCTTCCGTATCTCTATGCAAACCCAGTAGCTCTCGAGGCGCTGTCCGCGTTTTAGGGACGGTCCAAATCGAGGAGGATCTGCAAAGGAGCCCTCCCCGCCTCTCCCCAAACAGTAAGGTTCTGCTGGCCAGAGTCCTCTCGACAGGCTGGAGCGCTCGTGAGCGCGACAGAACGTGCGGGAAACCCAGGTTGATGAGCTTCCTGCCCTTTGCATATTCTACCCGTGCCCAGAAAATCAAGTATTAATAGGTTTGAGGTTTGCCGTGTTCCTCTAAGTAAGTCCCCTTTACATTTGTGACGCAGGTTAGGTTAATTGGAAAGGCACTCGCCTCTTGCTTTGTCTGACAAGTATCGTTGGGAAGAGAGAATCGGATCTCTGCTGAGAGCGATTAGGAGAGAACTGAGGTGTCTGGACCGTTCCTAGGTCAGGCTGGCGTGTGACCGTTCCGGTCCGTGTCCGCGCGGTCCTGCCGGCGGCGGCGCCGGAGACGAGGCGGGGTGGAAGCCGCGGCCGAACGCGCGCTTCTCGGCCCCCAGCCCGTCATCTTTGTGTCTCTCGGGGCGGGGAGGGGCTGTCTGACACGTTATTAAACCTGGCAGCTGCGTTGGCGGCGCCGAGGCGCATTGAGAGTGAGCTTGCAGAAGATGAGGGGCTTTCAGCCGGGCGCCAGCTTGTCACTTCTCGCTGCCTGAAAGGCGGGTTTCAGAGCGCTCTCTCTGGCTTCCATTAGCAGTGGCCACTGACAGCGCGCGCACTTCGCGGAAACAGTGGGAAACGTGAGTATCTGTGGCTCCGCGCCGCGGGTCGGCGGCTCGGCTCCCAGGTCTTCCAGCCGGGTGGCGGGGACGCAGAGGCAGCGGAGGCGAGGCCGGCGCGCGGGGCACCGGGCTGTGGGAGGGCCGCGCGCCGATGGTATCTGGGCCTGTAGTTTGGAGCCAGATGCACAAAGACGTCGGGCCTAGGCAGCGGGTGTAGACAGTCCTGTGCTGTCCCAGTACCTCCGGTCCTTTTTGAGAGAGAGGAGACGCTGCATTTTACGGTTGGCTCGGAAAAAAAATGAGATTAGGCCAGTGTTTCCCCGCCCCGGAGGACGTTTGCGCGCTGGCGGTGAGCATCTCGGCCAGTCCCATGGGGACGGTGTGGCAGCTTCGCGCGCCTCCAGAGGTCGGTGCGCCCGGATCCCTTGGGGACTTCAGAGCCTCCTGGGCTCAGGCCCCAATCCCTGAGCTCCGTCCCTCCCTCCCTTTCCCTCCTCTACACTGTGTTCTAACAGGGCTGGCCTTTAACGAAGACCCTAGTAAGGCGAGGAGACCTTAATTCCCTCTTTTCTTCCCGAAGTTATGAGTGTGAAGAGGTGTGGTGTTTTTCCTTATTATTGATTGCTAGAAGGAATCTTGAAGTTCAACATCGGATATATATATATATATGTGTGTGTGTGTGTGTGTATATATATATTTCTGGACAAGATTTCCCGTATTACAGAACTGACATCATACCAGGATCTCTCGGTGATCTGTGTATTTCTTTAAAAACCTTGGCTTTCCCCTAGGGGTTCCCAGGAGTGTCTAACAGCGTCAGTTGACACCAGAATATCATGTTTCCTATTTCGTGTGCGTTTCCATGCCGACCTGGTTCAGGCCGGAATGTGGGATACTGAGAGGTATCTCAAGCCTCATTCTTGCCGCCTCTGTGGCTGGACTTCTAGCTGTGTTGTCTGGCCATCAGTGTCAGCAGCTTATGGCCATGGAAGGGGTCACCTTTCCCAGGGGCTGGCCAGAGCCAGGACTCCTTGAAGGTTAGTTGTGTGGGCAGTCAGCTGTGGGCAAACTGCTAAGTTTCCAGGCCTCAGTTTCCTAATCTATAAAGTGGGCATGACAAAGTAACACAGAGCTGCACTAAGTTTGTGCTGGTCTTCAGATCTCACCCCACTAAACAGTTTTTCTGTTATAACTTGATAGTTGAGATTATCTTAATGAGCACAAAAAGAAAAGAAAGGAAAAGCCTACAAAATGGAAAAACTTGTAAATAGCCCTAAGAAAAGCAGTTATCAAGTTAGCTTAGAAATTTCCTAAAAACAGACTAGACTGTTGGTTGTAAATTACTTGATTTACAAGCAAAGAAGTAAAACTGTCATAGACACACATATGAGCCCTTTATTTTTAGAATTTCTTTTTGGCTAAACAGTGGGGCTTGAAGGACCTCAGTCTGCCAACCAGGACTGATCCTGGGCCATAGCAGTGAAAGCCCAAAGTCCGAACCACAAGGCCACCAGGGACCTCCCCATATGCCTTCTTTAATTTTACATGATCAGGTTATGACCCTGAAGCAAGTTTGACATCTAACAGGGAAATAAGGCTTGCTTTTCTTTGCCCCGAGACTTAGTTTTCCATCCTGTAGTGTGGTTTCTCAGGCTTCTGCAAATGAGTTTCTTGTTAACAAAAACCAGATGATAATTAAGCTTTTTTTTAAAGAAATTAATGGGATTCTGAGATGCTAAGTATAATACGATAGAACTGGAAATAAATACTGCTACTGAATTCTTCTTTAGTAAAATAATGCTTTAGGTGTTGTTTCTAATTTTGTCTATTATACTTTAAAAAGAATGTGGAGAAACGAGTTCAGAATGGAGCAACCAAAATAACTTAATGAAGCAGAAAAAGGAGAAGCTTAAAAAATTTTTTTTTTTTTTTAAAAATCCTGAGGCTGGGTAAGGTTCTGAAAAGAATGGAGTAAGAGAAAGCCAGGTTTTGATAGAACAGAATGCACTTCTCAGATGGTGAAAGATTAAAATGAGGAGCTTCACAAAGAGAATAATTTCCCATCTGCCCTTCATGGTCTAGCCCTAGCACTCCCTAAACCTGGCTGCCTATTTGAATCACGTGCGGACTTTAAAATCCTTCTAAGGCCCGGGTCCCTCCCCAGGCTGAGACTCTGACTTAACTGGTCTGAACGTGAGTGTGGATAGTCAGAGCTCCTGAGGTGAAACATTAGGTAGGAGAACCTTGGTCATGCCTAAGAGGGCGGCTGCAGGAGCAGCAGGGAGCTGGCGGGGCCACAGGAGAGAAGACAGCTGTGGTCCACACGGCCTGTCCGCCGGCTTCGCCAGATCCTGTTTCATCAAGGATTTCTGGAAACGCAGTTATTTACTGATAAATATGGAATCTTCAAATCTTTAAGGGTTGCAACTAATTAAGAGTAAAACATTTAAAAGTGTATTGTGCTTGCCAAACAAAACACATCTGCTGAAACTGGTGGCCAGATTAGGCAACCTCAGCCGCAGACATCTGCCTTCTCTTCAGGGAGGAGCCGGGCTGGACTAGGGGCTGTTCCTGGGCCTCTTCTAGTTTGAGTTCTGTTGTTTTGCTTTGTTTTGTTACTGTAGTAAATTTATTTATTCTTGTAAAATTATTTTTAATTGAAATACAATTTTGTTACAGTGTTGTGTTGGTTTCAAGTGTATAGCAAAATAATTCAGTTTTGTGTCTGTGCACGTGTGTGTGTTTCAGATTCTTTTCCCTAAGAGATTATTACAAGATATTGAGTATAGTTCCCTGTATACAATAGGTATACAATAGGGCCTTGCTGGTTATCCAACTCTTTGCGTCCCTGAATTCTCCAGGCCAGAATACTGTAGTGGGTAGACTTCCCCTTCTCCAGGGGATCTTCCCAACCTAGATATCAAACCTAGGTCTTCCTAATTGCGAGCAGATTCTTTACCAGCTGAGCCACAAGAGAAGCCCAAGAATACTGGAGTGGGTAGCCTATCCCTTTTTCAGTGGATCTCCCCAACCCAGGAGTCGAACTGGGATCTCCTGCATTAAGGGTGGATTCTTCACCAACTGAGCTATGAGGGAAATCCCATTTTATATATAGTAGTATATGCTAATCCCAAACTCCTAATTTATCCCTCCTCCCCTTTCTTCTTGGTAGCCCTAAGTTTGTTTTCTATGTCTGTGGGTATATTTCTGTTTTGTATATAAGTTCATTTGTATCATTTTTTTAGATTCCACATCTAAATGATATCACATGATATTTATCTTTGTCTGAGTTATTTCTGTAGTATGATAATCTTTAGGTCCATCCATGTTTCTACAAATGGTATTAATTCATTCTTTTCTATGGCTGAGTGATATTTTGCTGTATTAATACATATGTACCACATCTTCTTCACCCATTCATCTGTTGATGGATACTTAGGTTGCCTTCATGTCTTGGCTGTATGAACACTGGGGTGTGTGTATGTTTTTGTATTATTGTTTTCTCCAGATATATGCCCAGGAATGGGATTGCTGGGTCACACGAGAGCTCTATTTTTAGTTTCTTAAGGAATTTCCCTACTCTTCTCCATAGAGACTGCATCAATTTTCCTTCCCACCAACAGTGTAGGAGAGTTTCTTTTTCTCCACACCTTCTCCAGCATTCATTATTTGTATACTTTGATAGATCTCTGTAGATTATTTGAATGAAGAAATGTCCTCTAGTTCCCTAAGCTTCCCCTGGATCTAAGCTAAGGGAGCTGGCTCTGGGGGTTGGGATGGTGTCATGGGCCCCTATGGTAAGAGGTTGCCAGCGTCCTCTCTGCCCAGCATCTCCCACTCAGACTTTCTGGCTCTCTCTGCTGATTATGAAGGTAAGCTGAATGACGACTGGGAGGCTGGCTCCGTTCTATGGGAGGCCTGGCAACTGTCCTGAAACTGCTTTTTGGCATCACTTGGGTTGGGGGGGTGGGGGTGGGGTGGGCATGGTCCATGAATATAAGCAGCTCTGATGCTGAAACATAATTTTCAAAAGTTCCCAGTTCATGCATCTTTTGAATTTCCCTCTCACCTTCCCCAAGCTGCACCAACAACAGAAAAGGGTGTGTCTCCATGAGCAAAGGCACCACTTTCCCCAGATGAGAGCCCAGCCAGAGGTAGAGAAGTTCAGGAGACCTGGAAATGTGACTTGTCTGGCTGCTCCCTGCCTCCTCTCTCTGGATTAGGACTGCTGGTATTTTGTGTGAGTGGAGGGGCAGGTGAAGCAGCAGGAAGGCAGGATGCCAGCCCTCTCTCTGGCTGCCCCCCGCCCTCCCTGCCGGAAGTCTGAGACCAGGGTGGTACCTCCCTTCCCAGAAATGAGGCAGCCTCCAGGCCACACCGAGACCTGGGTGTGCGCAGCATCAGGGATTCGGCACAGAGGGGCTGACCACTCAGCCCAGGGCAATGAGCAGATGCCAGCTTTGTTCAAAACAGCTTTGTTAAGCCAGGTGGCACTGTACATAAATGGAAAAAGCTTTCTTTAGCAGCTGCCATTTTCACTCCCATAGGCTCTGTAGAATAGGCAAAACCAGAGTGATTGAACAGATGCGTGGCTCCACTCTATAGGCTGTGAAAAACCCCCCAAAGCCATGACCATACTGTCTTCAGTCCTTTTGCCAGCTTCTCAGTCCTCCAGGCAAAGAAACAACACCCGAGACTTCCGTGGTGGTCCAATGGTTAAGACTCCAAGCTTCTAATGCAGGGGGCCTGGGTTCGATCCCTGGTTGGGTAACTAAGATCCCACATGCTACGTGGCACAGCCCCAATTTTTTTTTTTTTTTTTAAAGCAGCTTGCGTGATCAAAGGATTTCACTGTCAAGGAAAAAGGAAAGAGAGATTGGAAGTTAACATGTAAAAACGGCCCAGAGAAAGGGGAAGGAGATAGGATCCAGGTGCTTGGCTGGATTCTGGATGCCAGAACCCAGAAATGTGTTTCTTAGAGGGACAGAAGCTACGTCAACTCTAGTATCAGGCCGCCAAGGCCTTAGGCTGTGGCAGAGCCACTCTGCCCTGGTATAATCTGCATGCGCCTGTGCCCAGCTGTGTCCGACTCTTGGCAGCCCCGAGCACTGTAGCCCCCCAGGCTCCTCTGTCCATGGGATTTCCCAGGCAAGAGTACTGGGGTGGGCTGCCATTTCCTACTCCAGGGGGTCTTCCCGACCCAGGGACCAAACCCGTGTCTCTGGAATTGGCAAGCAGCTTCTTCACTACTGGGCCACCTGGGAAGCCCCTAATGCCTGCGTGAGGAAACAGTGGTTGACTCTCCTGGAATCCCACATGAACACCTTCCCCCCGTCAGTCTCTGCCACTAGCGGGGACCAACTTCAGAAGACTGGGATGCCAGGGGGGTGCTGTGTGGTTCCGCTGAGGGTCTGACTCCCCTCACACCACCGTGCGTCCCAGAACTGTGGTCCAGCAATTGGCCGTAGGTAAGCCTGCTCCCACTCAGGTCCCTTTTAGTCCTGGGACTGACCTGCTGTGTGTACTTTGGAATCAGCCTTCCTTTATGTCTGTCCTCCTTCCGGCCGTAGCCCAGGCTGACTGTTAAATATACCAGTTGCCTGCCCTCCAGCGGCCAAAACAGCAAGTCCCGTCCATTTCTGGCTGGATAATGACAGGTTGCCTATGGAGCAGCCTGGCCGTGCGCGCTGTTGGCCAGGGTGATGCAAGCAGCTCGTATTGTCCCTTCAGGTAGTTTGTTCCCATTCTAGAAACTTCCTGTTGGTTCTTTTTAGTAAATTCACTCTTAACAGAAGATCTCTTAAGTGTGTCCAGGGACAGAGGGTCCTTGGTGTGTCCATTCCACTTTTTTGAACTTCTTCAGGATGATGGTAGAAAAATTGATTAAGGTTAAATTTGATACTGTTGGCTAAAATGCAGCTATATATTCATGACTATTCAATTCATCTGTCTTGCATGATCAAATATTTTTGCTATATGAGATTAATGATAATATTAGTACTAAGTTCAGTTATACAATGATATGAACTATAAGGGGTTTTATTTTTTTTTTCAATTTTAATTATGTCACCTTTTATTATTTTACAGCATATTTCCAAAAAATGCCATTACAGTTGCCTTAACTGCTCTATAAGACCTGGAATCACAGAACACTGAGAATTAGAACACACACATCAAGCTGTAATGCCTACTTGTGCTGAACCATTACTACCAAAAGGGATGTTGTTTCTTAAATAAGCAGATATGTGGCAATGCAAAATAAAATACAAACTGGTTAGAACAGTAAACTTTGTTTCAATGGCTATAGAAAGGAGGTGGTTTTGTTGTTTTTCTTTAAAACATCTGGTCTGGCAGCAAGATGTAATATGCATTTAGAGCAGTACATGCCCTGAAAGCTTATATTTTCAGTTGTGTGCATCACCTGAACTCAGAGCCCAGATGAAAAAAGTAATCACTCTCCATACTCTCAACACCCCTCCCTCCATAAGGTCACAATATTCCTAAACTTGAGATTCTTGTTGGTGAACTATTTTACAATTTTTTCTCCAATGACACTGGATGCTTTTAGTTTTTTCTCTGAAATAGAAGCAATGAAAATGCAAGGACACCCTCCAGGGTCCAATTTTCACATCACATTCTCCAAGTAGTAAAATAGCAGCGCTATAACGTGGATGAAAAAAGTTTTCAGTTTCCTCCTATTCCTCCTTCAGTTTTTAATCATATTGGCATTAAAATTTATCTGGAGTCAGTGGGCTTTCCCAAAGAAAATTTTTAGTTGCCAAGTATTTTCAGAAATTTATTAAAGTGTTACATATATGTAATTAGCTCTTATCTACCAAAAATATATATATGTATATATATTTGTATTTATTTATCTTACCTTCACTGAAGTGCTGTTTTTTTTTTTTTTTCCTGGCTGAACATAAGAACCTAGTGGACGGACAAATGCTGGCTTTATTTCTTTATAAGCAATAACTGGAGTCTTTTTTCTTTTCATTCAATAGAAACTGCATGTTCATAATAAATTCACAAAAGGCAATATAAGGAAACACCTACCGAACAGGCATCTGCCAAACAAGTCATGTTAAGGTTGGACTCTACCAAGTAGCACTATGGCATTATAGACATTCCATTTTTCTTTTTTCAAGTCTGTCAGTTCTTTGCTAATTTTTCCCCCCCTAGCAGGGGATAGTGTGTAATCACAAAGTAAGGCCTAGAAACCATTCATAGTCACTCCCAATATTAGGGTGGACATCATTCTCAAGAGCTGATATAAACCAGACTGAGCAGGAAGTACTCAACTAGAACCACATTTGGGCCCATTCAAATAGTCTCCACTAACACTTTGCTGATACACATGTTCCCTTCTTGACTGATTTTGTGTTAACCTTCAAAAGCTTCTAACAAGTAAGACTACAAAGTTTTCATAGAGTTGTAGTCTTAGGGGGACTGCTACGTTCCAAAGAATATGTTTTAATTCACAAAATGTCATTAGTAACGTCTTGTCCATAAACATGGTTGGCAAAATTTAAAAAAGGCACAAAAGGGGAATAACGAGAAATGCTTTCCACTTTCAGTGAAGAGTACCAAAGCAAATATCTTTCACAAGAAAAGGCAGAGAAAAGTGTTCAGTATGTCATGCACAACTTGAGCTAAAAAAAAAAATTATCTTCTAGGCCCTGAAGCTTGAGAAAATGAGTTTTCCTAATCACGTGCTTCATGTCAAATAAAATGTAAAGCTGCACAATACATGTTTGGTTTAACAGTGGACCCTTTTTTTTTTTTTAAGTGAGGCAATTAAACAAAGGACAACAAAACCAAAATACCTTCATCATCAAAGCAACTCCACCTGTCGCCTCTGTCCCTTTTACCACTTAGGGGGGTAAAATGTCCGGTAGAATGTAAAATGCAGCATTCTCAATCATGGGATCTAGAAACTTCTCATGATAACTTATTGCAAATTGCACTTGACAGTTCACCACGACAATGGAAAACTGGCCCCTTGTTCGCTTATACAGTCCTTGAGCCCCAAAGGGAAGTCACCAGTAGAATGACCTGGATAAAAAGTTTGCAGCTGTGCTCAGCCAGCTAGCTCCACCCTCCGGGTTGGAGCCCACCCGGGACACCGCCTTGTCCTGCTCCTTCGTGGGACTCTCATCCTCGGGCAGGTAGTCAGGCAGCTCCGTGTTCTGTTCTACCTCCACAGGCGTGTCCTGGAATGGGACCAGCATCTGATACAGAGAACACGTGAAGAGTTATTGCAAAATCAGCCTAATTGATGGAAGTGCATGTCACACACTGAAAGTCAACTTTACTTCTCGTTCTCATCACCACATTCTCGGAGGCTACATTCCTTCAAAAAGTATCTTCTTGTCTGAAGGTAAGTCCAATTAAAGAGCACTATGTAGGCACAGAAGGAAGAACTGCACATGAAAATTCTCACGCTTTTCTCCTGAGGTTCCAGGAATAAATGTTCAACCTCTGTGGTATCTCAGATGGTAAAGAATCTGCCTGCAATGCAGGAGATACAGGAGACTTGGGTTCAATCCCTGGGTTGGGAAAATCCCCTGGAAAAGGGAATGCCTACCCACTCCAGTATTCCTACCTGGAGAATCCCATGGACAGAGGAGGCTGGTGGGCTACAGTTTATGGGGTCGCAAAGAGTCGGACACGACTGAGTGATTAACACTTTTGTTGATTTCAAGATGACAAAAACAAGTATCTGGCTGCAGTAGGCCCCTAAAGGGTCAATGAACCTCCTTTCTTTGGGAACTCAAGTGAACTAAAGAATCTTTTCCCTTATCACAAAGCTAGTGAAGAGTAGCAAGAGGCAAAGATTTTCAAATATGTACTTGCCCAATGATGCAACTGGATCTTAATTTTTTTGGATTGGCAAAACTAATTAAGATTAGAAAGTATTTAAAAACCAATGCAAAGAAACTACATATCCTTTCCTTCCACATACAATCGGCAAAACACCTCCACGAAGATCAAGAATAGTCTGAAATCCACAAAATCTCTCTCCATATTTCTAGAAGTGTTAACTGTTAATGAAGAAACACCAGGATAATCTGACTCTGCCACATTCCTACATACTCAGTGGCCATTTGTCTAGAAATACTAGCCATCTGCCAGCCCCAAAGAATAGTTGAGAAAGAGTCAAGCAGAAAGCAAACTGAACAGAGCTTTTACCTCTTCTCCACTCTCGCTCTTCACAACCTGCTGAGCCTTCATAACCTTGGTTGATGCTATTGCTGATGCCAACGCCTAGGCCAGGATAAAAAGACAACACTTTTGAACATGGATGTGTTTACCCATAACCTCAAGCGTATTTAGCCATTTGAGATACCAACCTCTGCTTTAAGGTCTGAACGGATTCGTACCACACATCTCTGAACGGCCATTTGAAAAGTAAAGCTAATAACACCTTTAATTTTTAACAAGGCCTCTTCACACAGGTTTCTCCGGGACTGAAAAAGTAAAGGCAAACTGTTATTAAAATTTGGAAAATAATGAATGGCAATAAACCAAACACTGAACTAGTAACACTGAGGAGATAGGAGGGAACAGGGAAAGTAAACTTCCCTATTTCAATTCTACAATTGCATATTTGAAGGCACATAAAGGGTGGTATTTTAGTTAAGTTTAGGAAAACTTAAGGGCCTTTGCAGAAGGGGAGACATGGGCCTTAACAGAAGGAAACTTGAAAAATTCAGAAATATATGGAAATTAAACTCCTAAATAACCAATGGGTCTAATAAAAAATCACCAGAGTAAAATACTTTCAGATGAATGATATGAAACACCACATACCAAATCTGAGGGGATGCAGAGACAATAGTAGTGCCTAGAGGGAAATTTATACCTATAATAATGACATCAAAGTAAAAGAAAATTGCAAACCAATTACCTAATACTCCATTCTAGGAAACAAGAGAAGAGGAAACTAAATCCAAAGCAAACAGAGGAAAGAAATATAAAGATGAGAGTAGAGAAAAAAAGAAATAGAGAATGGGAGGGGAGAGAGAAAAATCAATGAAATCACAAGTTGGTTCTTCAGAAAGAGTAACAAAGCTTGATAAAACTTTAGCTAGACTGACCAAGAAAAGAAAGAAGACTCAAATTACTACAAGCAGGAATATAAGAGGATATATTATGACCAACTTTACCAAAACAAAAGGATATGCAAATACTATGAACAACTGTATGCCTAACACATTAAATAACCTCAACAAAATGATAGATTCCTTGAAAGAAAAAGCTATAAAGTGACAAGAAAATATGAATGGACTACAGAACAATTAAAGAGACTGAATTTATAATCAGAACATTTTCCACAAAGAAAAGCCCAGAACCACATGGCTTTACTGGTGAATTCTACCAAATGTTTAAAGATCAACACCAACCCTTCACAAACTCACCCAGAAACTTCCCAACTCATTTTATGAAGCCAGGATAACACTGATACCAAAACCAGACAAAGACAGCACATGGCAAAAAAAAAAAAAAAAAAAGGACTACAAACCAATATCCTCTATGAATACAGATGCAAAATACTTCAACAAAACACCAGCAAACTGATTCTAGAAGCATATTAAGAAGATTTTGCACCATGGCCAATTAGGAACTAGGAATGCAGAGTTGTTGGTTCAATATACGAAAATAAACCTGATGTAATACTTGATATTAACAGAACTCAAAAACAGAAAGACAAATAATCAGCAATTTTTTTTTAAATGGGCAAAGAATGAACATTCTTCCAAGAGAAAATCTATAATAAAGATGCATACAATAAACACTAAACACTACTTAGTGGTATAGTCAACCACTAAAAATGGCCAACAGGCACATGAAAATACAGCACCACTGTTATTAGGGAAATGCAAATCAAAAGTACAATAAAATACTACTTCACACCCCTTGGAATAGTTTTTTTTTAACAATGGAAAATAAATGTTGGCAAGGTTGTGGAGAAACTGGACTCCTCATATATTGCTGATGAGAGAGTGTAAAATGGAGCAGCCATCGTGGGAAACAGTCTGGCAGTTGCTCAAAAAGCTAAACATAAAGCCCCCATATTATCCAGCAATTCTACCTTTAGGAATATATCCAAGAGAACTGAAAACATTTATTGACACAAAAACTTGTACATGTACGTTCACAGCAGAATTATTCACAAAGACAAAAGGTGGAAATAAGCCAAATATCCATCAATTGATGAATTAATAAACAAAATGCCATATACCCTTACAATGGAATATCATAAAGAGGAATGATGCACTGACACATGATACAACAGGGATGAACCTCGACAACATCATGCTAATGGAAAGCTCGACATGAACGGCCACATCCTGTATGATTCCAGTTACATGAAATGTCCAGGAGAGGAAAAGCCATAGACACAGAAGTAGATCAGTGGTTACCAGGGGCCAGGAGGAGTGAGTGCTAACGGCAATAATCAGGCTTCCCAGGGGGCACTAGTGGTGAAGAACCTGCCTACCAATGCAGGAGACCTAAGAGACATCGGGTGAAGATCCCCTGGAAGAGGGCATGGCAACCCACTCCAGTATTCTTGTCTGGAGAATCCCACAGACAGAGGAGCCTGGTGGGCTACAGTCCAAAGGGGTGCAAAGAGTTGGATATGACCGAGGTGACTGAAGCAATTAACACACACACATCAATAATCATACGAATGGTGAATGACCCCAGCACTCCTGATCAAAGGTAGAAATTTTTAGAATTAAAATTTAAAAAGCACGGTCCAATTATAGAGTGCCTGTCCATGTGAAATACAGACACAAATAGAAGATACACACAATAACTAAAAGAAACCTTGAGCACCTAATATTATAGGCCAACAAGGTAGAATGAGTTGAGAAAAAACAACACTTTACAACTACTGTACAGTACTTTAAAAAACTGTATAATTGGTATTACTTTTTCCTTAAACGTCTGGTATTAATAGAATTCACCAATGAAGACATTGAGACCAGAATGTCTTTATAGGAAGGTTTTTAACTGCAAAATCAATTTCTTTGATAGACACAGAGCTATTCAGTCAGGTTATACATCTCTTTTAAAGTGAGCTTTGGCAATCCATCTTTCAAGAAATCTTCCTGTTTCATCTATATTATTAAATTTATTGGCATAAAGTTAGTCAAAATATTCACTTATTTTCCTTTCAAAGTCTAAAGGATCTATAGCAATGTTCCTTCATTTCTGATACTGATAAATTTGTGACTTCTCTTTTATTCATAAGTGAGGTTCATCAATCTAATTGATCATGTCAAAGATCAGTTTTTTATTTCACGAATTTTTCTCTACAGTTTTCCATTTCACTGATTTCTGCTTTTTTTGTTTCTTCTGCTTGCTTTGGATTTACTTTGCTCTTTTTCTAGTTTCTTAAGGTAGAAGCTTCAATCACTGAGGCCTTTTCCTTTTTGTATATAATATTCACCTGGTGCTAATGATTTCCTTTCTAAACTCTGTTTTAGCTGCTTCCCCCAAATTCTGACACTGCATTTTTTTGCTAATGATTTCCTTTCTAAACTCTGTTTTAGCTGCTTCCCCCAAATTCTGACACTGCATTTTCATTTTTATTTAGTTCAAAATACTTCCGAGTTTCACCTTTCCTTTATTCATTGACCCGTGGATTGTTTTAGAAACGTGTTAAATTTCTAAAATATTTGGGGGATTTTTCAGGTATCTTCCTGTGACTGATTTCTAACTTGCTTTTCGTTGTGAGCAAGGAATATTTTGCTTGGTTCTAATTCTTTTAAGACTTGTATTATGGGACACAATATGGACTGCTTTCATCATTGTTTCATGGGCACATGAGAAGAATGAACATCTTGCTGCTGAGTAGTGTTTTCTATAAATATCAATTAGGGTAAGTTGGTTGTTAGTGTTATTTGAGTCTTCTATGTCCCTAATGATTCTCTGTATACTTGTTCTATTCCTTGGGAGAGGAGTATTCAGATCTCCAACTCTAGTTGGAGCTTGGCTATTTCTCCTTGCATTTTTGTCAGTTTTTGCTTCATGTATTTTGAAGTCACATTCTTAAGGCATACCTATTTGATTAATTGACCCCTTAAGCATAAAAATGCCCCTCATTATCAGAATAAAATACTGGTATTGGGACTTAATTCTTGAAGATTGTTAGCAGGTGACACTGAGGTAACCAGTTAACATGAGTTCTCTCTCCCATGTTATGAATCATGTGTTGTATTATACAAGTCTTACCGTATCATCAAGACCATCTATATGCAAAACCACTGTTTTGGCACGTTTGTTTGTAGTTCCCAGGAAAAACTGAGCTTTCCTTCGACGTGAATTCATTTCACTGAAACTATCCCCATCTGCCATATTGGAAGATTGAAGAATGTCATAGATTTCAGAGGCTAGCAGTTTTGTTTCCCCTGGAGTTGTAGACCTTGAAGAGAAACATGTCAATTAGCAAAGCAGTCTTGTCATTTCTACTGATTCTGTAATTTTATTCCTCAACTTTGCAAAACCTTGGTTTCCTCATTCTGATGCTTGGTTCAATCTGAAAGAAATACTGGTGAATCCCAGAATAATCAATAATACAAAAAAAGTATATAGTCTGTAACAGTCTTCTAGTTTCAATTTAAACCCATGGTTCATCAATATTTAAAACTCATCACTAGAGTGGTATAAAAGCACATTTAAAGAAATCATTAATTAAACAGGAAATCAACTGAAAAAAAAAAATCAGGACATAACATGTCCCTGGATTAACACTAACATTCAACACTCAGTTCAACTTCCAAAAAAATATAACACATAAAAATCCAAAAGTAAAAAGCAAAATAGGAAAGGATCATTTATATTAGTTATCTCAATACAGGGATTTGTGAGTAGAAACAAACACCATTCCTCAATTTACGTTTTTATGTACCTTTTACAAAGCAAGTATGTATCGTTAAACCACAGCTCAGGCAATAGTTTTCATAAAATTTTCAATCCTACTATGGCTTCTCACATAAATGTCTAGTGCCATTCTGTCCAACAGAACTTTTGGCATTGACAGAAATGTCCACTCACCACATGTGGTTACTGAGGACTTGAAATGTGGCAAGCAAAACTAAACAATTTTATTTACTTTTAATTAAATAGCCACACACTGCAAGTGGTTACCATAGCTGGAAGCACAGGTTTAATGGTTCTTATTAACTAGTTTAATTGAATAAGCAATAAGTACACATAACTAAGAAAATAATCCTCATTTCACCTATACCTGGGCTCAATTAGGGGGTCTTCCTTTGTGGCTCAGCTGGTAAAGAATCCACCTGTAAGGCAGGAAACCTGGGTTCCATCCCTGGATTGGGAAGATCCCCTGGAGAAGGGAAAGGCTACCCACTTCAGTATTCTGGCCTGGAGAATTCCATGGACTATGGAATTTGTGACATGGGGTCACAGTCAGACACAACTGAGCAACTTTCATTTCACTTCACTTCAAACCCTGTAACATGCATCCCAAGGATTTTACAATCTGTCCCCTTTCAGCTTTACCAACATCAGCCAGAAGAGCTTCACCTTGACTGTATCCTTGAAGGCTCAGCTCAACCACCGTCTTCATGAAGCCTCCTCACCCCAACACCCACATTCATTCCTCTGCATTCAAAGTACTATGCTTGTACTTAACACTACTAATTGAAATTTTCCATTTCTCTTCAAGAATAGGGATATAGTCTCTCCATCCCTCCCACAGAGCCTAACAAAATTCTGTGTAATCCATTTGTTTACTGGATGAGCAGGAATACTTCATTCCTGATATTCAGACTGTACACATTCCAGTTACACAGACCATCAACTCCTGGGTACTACTCTGGCCGTTTTCTGGGCCCCCAACTTACCATACCAAGTGTTTTTCTGGGCTACTGTTGACCATAGAGATCAATTACCTTGAATGATTATGGCTTTGTATTCCAGGAAGCTACCAAAAGGACTATTTTTTTAGGAGATGTCTCAGCACGTTTCAGATAGCTGTTTCACAGGTCACTGCAGTTGTGAGGTATTTTGAATACTAGCCAACCAGAAGTTGTAAAAAGTACGAGGACATGGGTAAGAAGCACCATGAATTTAAATTGAAAAAAAAAAGTCTTTGCTCTCTACTATGAATACTGTTTCTATGCATTTGCATCAAATAAAAGAATCATCATGACATGTAATAGATTATCTAATGATCTTTCTCATAAAACTTTTTAAACACACACTATTCTAGAACTTTTTGATGTGCTTCCTAACCAATCAGTAGTGACCAAACCATTAAAAGACTAATATCAAATTATTATCTTTCTGTTCTGCAGAATAGGAACTAGAACTAGATAGCACTGGTTCTTAAACAAATGGGTCTACTAACCCCTTTGAGAAGCTGGTATAAAATACTCCCACCACCACTATTTTTAACTTCCTTTATTTCATAGTTCCAAGTTTCACCATTTTCATACTGTAATAAATTCCTTTCTGGGAGATTTTCAATTTCTATCTACTTAAAACCAAAAGATTTTAAAAGAATAATATAGTCAAATCAACATGATGGTCTCAGTTTGTTTCGAAGCATGTTCTACTGGCATATCTCATAGGACTAATTTTATTGCTGCACTTTGTATAAAGCAGTTGCAGACTGTTTCTTCAGACACAGTCTGAAGAGACACAGTTTAAGAGACACTCTCTCTTAAAATGGAGTAAAATTTTGTCTTAGGCAAAATGAACTCTGCAAAAGCATATAAGCAAAAATGAAGTAAAAATTAAGTTACTTCTTGATCTGGGCACTATATAAAGTATCACAAATATCTATGTGTATGTTGCTGTTCAATAAATTATAATTTCATTTTTTCCCCTTATTTTTAAAAAATGCTTTTAAAACCAGAAAGAAAAAGTCAAGATCATCTACAGATTTGGAAGCAAGTAATTTAGTCTTAAAAAAAAAAAAATTACTATTCAAATACTATGATTTAAAACATTCAAGTACAAGAAGTCTAGAGTTATGTGGTACATTTGGCCATAAATTAAGAAAGACTGTATAATTAAATAAGTATTAATTGCCCTAATCTTCTTAGACAAATGAAAACTGAAAGAGCTGATTAATGCCCTGGATTTAGTTCTTCAGTCTTTAAAATGTGACATCCAAGAAAAAGACCATCTTGAAAAACTCTTCAAATAATTGGAATTCTGCTCTCAGTAATTTACTATTCCATAACGAAGTATACTGATCCTTCACCACTTTTTCTAAATAGTTATCTATATTGAAAACACTCAATGTTACTCATAAAACACTGAAAAGTGAACTCTGATCTTTATTATATATCAAAAATAATTTTCATTTTGGATATATTTCCTTATTGATCATAAACAGCAATTCACTCTAAGTCTAGATGCTGCAAATAACATTTTACATTACCTATAAAAGCCACGCAAGACTTTCATATACTTCATGAAAGCAATGAAAATACTATTTCAGTATTAGAAGGCTTGCTATCATCTTTCGAAAAACTTTACAACTTTTCCTTTAGGAGTTGGTTTTACTTTTTTTTCCTGTGTTGCTCACTAAGAAAAAGTGTTCTCGTAATATTTATGCAACACAGAAAACCATCTATCTTTCCACGCAGAAACAATCCTAACTTAAGGCTTCTAAGAAGAAAGCCAACAGCTCTGTTTAGTAACAGTGAAGTCCAAAGGCAGGAAAACTATGACCCTAAGGCAACAGCCTATCATTTACGTATCATCTCTGGCTGTTTTGACTCACAAGGGCAGAAGTGAGTACCTCAACACACAGACTGTGAGCCCAACGAAGCCTAAAATAACTACTATCTGGTTTGTTTTTCTTTTTTTAGGAAAAATTTGCCAACCTCTGTTCTACACAAATAACATAAAAATCAAAGCAAAATGGAGCAGCATTTTCAAAAATCACAAGAAAACAAAAAGTAAGCCACAAATCTAGTTCAACTGTCCTGTTCAATTTTTTTTTAATATTTAGAAAAAAAAAAAACACAGGAAAAAGCATAAAGAAATGAAGCACATATTTTTCAGCCAAGATTTTAGCAAGAAGGATAGTCCACCATTACTATGGCACTGTTTCAAAATCTAGAATTTTAGGAAGTTCTCCAGATGAAATGAGATACTTTGAAGTTGAAATGCCACAATTTATTAAAGTGACTTATTTATACCATATTTCATGTGAGATACTCACAGATGCTTTTATAAAATGCATCTTATATCAGAAGTATTACTCCTGAAATACTAATTAACAAATGTCTTAAACTGAATTTAGATGTTCTCCTAAACTGATACTCTGAAAATTTTCTTCACAGAGAGATTCAGGGTTAAAAATAAAACATAAAAAAAAATTTTAATTAAAAAAATAAAAATAAAATGTAAACAGGTTCTAACAGCTAACGATGAGTTTTCATTTATGGAGAATTAAAATTAGAACACAATACGAGATTCATTTTGAGTGACAGAGAACTTAAAATTCTCTTCACAATTGAAGAACTGAACACAACAATGACTGAAGTCAATCCAACTGCTGATCTCTAAGCACCAAAGTGACCTAAACACAAGTCAAACCTGCTTTTGAGTAACATGTTAAAGTCTCCACAAAATTCTGTAACAAAATATAATTTGGTGATTAAAGGGCAGAAATTATAAGATGCATAATTTTCTCTATTTTATAAAACATTCCTCCCTGATTCTCATGGTAAGAACCACCTCTACTCTTCCCACCTTCTTCTGATTTCTGGTTTTCTCTTTGATCACTTAAGAGAGGATTCCTCTTCAGTCAACATGAAGTAGCAGCTTGCCACAAAAGATCTGTTCTGTGGGGTCTTGCTAGGATATGAGGAGATCCTTCTGCCTCTTCCTGAGTTGCACAGATTGACAAAATCACAGCTCAATCTCCTCCTAACTCAGTGATCTGAATTCCACCCTGACTGCCTGGCTGTCAAAGGGCAGCCACATCACTGAAAACAATTAGGACATCTATGTTATATGTGCTCCTGTGCTACGGCTCACCAAGATGACCTATGTAAGAACGGAAGAGTGCGGCTCCCTGGTGGTCCGGTGGTTAAGAATCCACCTGCCAATGTAAGGGACAGAGGTTCAATCCCTGCTCTGAACAGATTCCACATGCCTCGGAGCAGCTAGCCCCACAAGCCCATGCACTGCAACTACTGAAGCTCCAATGCCTAGAGCTGGCGCTCCACAGTGAGAAGCCTACACACACCACAAGTAGAGAAAGCCCTGGCACAGAAACAAAGACCCAGAACATTCAAAAATAAATAAATATTTTTTAAAAAAAGAATGGAAGAGTGATAGTCATCTGTATCTGCAACACAGGTGTGAAAATGCAGAATAATGTCTAAATAACATATGTCTACAGTGTCAAAACAATTATGTATATATAAAGCTCACCCTGCTCTATGATAAAAACTTTTCATTTTGATTTCTTAAGAATATTTAACACAAGTACCCAAAAGAAAAAAGTAAATGAGAAAATAAAAAGCCAGAGCAATCTAATTTTTTTTTAAAAAAAGAGAATCATGTCCAAGCCATGAGATAAGTTTACAACACAGTGAAATATGCTGAACCAAAACCTGATTCTAATACTTCACAGGCTTACATGTTGACAGACCAAAATACATAGTTTTATCAGCCTTCTGATAACATTCACTGATAAACTTCTAAAATGATTATTTCAGTAAGCAGAGGTGACTTTTAAAAAGCTTGAAAGGCAACCTTCAAATCTGTGATCTCCACTGGCCAAATGAGCTGAAAAATATATATAAAAATTATTACCTTGTATCTCCACTTTTGAAAGGGCTATAGGACCAAATTATAATGGAGTATGCAATGAGTGTGCATTCATTTTACTACTGGAGGAGCCAGCAACGATCCCCACACTGTCCAAAAAAGTATACTTTATTTGTATTAAAAATAGAAGCAGCGTGTAGCAACCATGAAGACACACTGCTCGGATCTCCCTTTAAGAAGCCTCCCCTTCGGCTGTACAAAGCAGAGCCGCCGGTAACAGTGGCCCTGAGATCTAGCACACCGTACAGTCCGAGGCCTGACCCCTCCCGGGGAGATCCACAGTGGGCGCACTAGGGCCTGGCCAGTTCTGCCCGGTGCAAGACTCACCTATGGGGTGACCCTGGCTTTGCATCTCCCTCCAGAGCTTTCTGTCAGATGTGCACCGCAGTCTGAGACTCTCCTTGTCGCATCAGTTTCCTCTTCACTTTCCTTTAACAGAGGTCAGGTCTGTGTTGTAATCTAAAGACAACAGTCCGATCCTCCTTCATTCCCTTCTATCTTTACAGACCATATCTCATAGTAAGCTCTTCCAGTTCTAACTCCATCTCAAGATCTCCCCCCCAGGTGATTTGTTGTTGTTTAGTCCCTCAGTCATGTCTGACTCTGCCACCCCGTGGACTGCAGCACACTTCCGTCCTTCACCAGCTCCTGAAGTTTGCGCAAACTCACGTCCATTGAGTCGATGATGCCATCCACCATCTCATTCTCTGTTGCCCCGTTCTCCTCCCCGAAGATACTGCAAGATAATGACCTGAGCTGACACAACTCTTCTCCTATAAAGACACTTACTAGGGACTTCCCTGGTGGTCCAGTGGCTAAGACAGCGCTCCCAGATACTGATCCCTGGTCAGGGAACTAGATCCCACCTTCTGCAACTGAGAGTTCACTAAAGATCCTGCAGGCCACAAACTAAGACTCGAGGAAGCCAAATAAATGTTTATAATAAAATATATACACTAATAGTTTCCCTACTCTGTTAATGGATCTCTCACTTACATATACACACATACATATGTACATATCACAACCTTAGCCAACCAAGCTCAGAAACTGTTGTAAGTTAAATCTATGGTGCCTCTAAAACTTGCTCTCAAGTTCAAATTCGAAGTATATTTTAATAAAGAAATTTTCATTTCTTACATTTTTAAAATTTGTACCATGCATTTTCAGCTTCAATAAACAAACCTGTTAAAAGAATACACAATCTTAAGTTCATCATGTGAATAAAATAATTGTACAGAAGCATTGATTATTATGCTTAATCCTTTCAGTGTTTCACAAAGAGTATGCCAGTTAAAAACAGTTATATGGCATTAAAGCCTACTAAGAACAAGAATAATGCAACCTCATATTTTATATAACACTTTAAAATTTACAGAGCATTTCTGCACAGATATCCCACTGAATCCTCAAGCACTTTGACCTCAAATCATGGGCAATGATTAATAAAATTAATGCCAGTCAATATTTTCTAATATTTATTTCTAACTGATCACCTGAATTAAAAAAAAAAACCCTTCAGGTTCTAACTTGTCATTATCAAAGATCAAGGTACCTACCAGTGTAGCTCGATTAAAAAAAAAACAACTATTAATAAAATTTATCTAGAAGCCAAGAACACTAAGAAAAAAAGTACAGTTCCTTGGAAGTCAGTCTGGAAGATTCACCACTGATATAATTTAACTTACTAGTGTTTGGGAATTATAGATATTTTGTGAGCATTATAGAAATTTTGTGAATGCTCAAGCCAAAGAAATTGCAAATTTTAAAAGCCAGTAAATTAAATGGTTACCTATTATAGTCTTAAAGACAGTCATGTCTTAGGTAAGATCAAGATACACAGTAAACTAAGATAAAGCCTCAGAAAACATAGTTTTTTTGCTTTCAGACACAGCAGAAGTATCAAAACACTCCATCTTCAATTTCTATTCTTTTACAAGGAAATCAGCGAGGCCCGTGAACCGGACGTCCCCAGAGGCAACACAGCTGAAGAACTACAGATAAAAAACTTGGCCTCTATGTGATTTTCTTACCCATAAATTACCCATCATTTCTTACCCGTTATCCATTTCTTACCCATAATTTATCTCACACATTTCAAATAGCAAAATAAGATGATGAATACGAAAATCTTTCTAAGATGAAAGGTACACTTAAAAAAAACACCCACTTGCTAAAATTCAAATTAAATGGCTCTGAGAATTCTCTGGAAGTCCAGTGGCTAAGACTCCACACCCCAATGCAAGGGGTCGGGGTTCAATCCCTAGTCAGAAAACTAGATCTCATATGCCACAATTAAGAGAGCTCACATTACCACAACTAAAGATTCTACATGCCACAATTAATACCTGGTGCAGCCAAATAAGTTAAAAAAAGAAAAAGAAAATTTAAATGGTTCTCAGTCTCTAAGAGACCTCTCAATGATGCTCAGGAAAATCTCACCTAAAGCCCCTTCAGTCATGATACAGATCAAGGTTCTTCTGAGTAAGACTGAGACGGAGTAACAAAAGAATTAGGTAGTGTAACATCGCATATTTTCAAATGTCACTGTGTTGCTCTACTAGCAAATCAATAAACATTTCACAAAACCTCATACAAGGTAGGATCTTCTCTTCTTAGAAGAAATAATACTCATAAGCACAATGTGTATCAACATTTTAAATAAAATCTGAGCATTTTCATAAGGACTACTGTTAATGTTTAAGAATAATCAGGACACTGCCCATCAGAACAGTTTTGGACATACAACCCAGATAACCTACAAAGCTATGCCTTCATTTTACCGATTTCAGTAAAATAACACGACCCACTTCTCTACCCCACTAGGAGACACTACCTACTGTACTTACTTCTGTATAACATTTTGCAAGCTTAACATCATTCCCAGCTCTCCTTTCATCTTTTCTCTGTTGGCACGGCACTCTGCCAAGTATCGAAGAGCCTACAGCAAAAACAGGAATAGGTTAATTCACATGTCCAGACAACTCAAAGTGAAACCCTGTGCTCACTGACTGCAAGAGGAAAGAAAGTGAAAAATAGGTTTTTGTTTTTAGAATCAACTGGTTTTGAAGTATTTGGAAACTCTTCTTTAAATGTGATCAGCAGAGCAGTCCTCTAGGGGGAAAAAAATAATTCTGAGCTGATGGAGCTGAATCTGCTCTTAGAAACAAAGGTTCCCAACTTATCTGCAAGGTCAAAATCAGGATGTTCCAGTTTTATTTTCATTTCATCCTAACAAAGATACAAGGAACTAAATTCCATTAATTAATTTCAGAAAGCAGTCCCAGTAGCCATCATTTCCCTAGGTGCTTTTCACATATTAATTAAAACAAACTACCGAGAGGGACAAAACATACAACCCCCTTTATGGAATGGGTGGTTTCTAGCTTTATAATTCACTTTTAAAATGTCTTTTTTTTTTCTTTTCCTTTTTTTAACTGTGAAAAGCCAAACCTGAACTCACTCTCACAGACTTCTATCTTGTGAATTTCTAGGATGCTTCTCTCTTAAGGTTTGATGTACATTTTTGCACTTTTCCTTCATGTGCTGATTCTTGGGGGACTGGGCTGTTCTACAGACCTCCTCCTCTCTCATCCTGTGCTGCAGAGTTCAGTACCTGAGTTGCAGGGACTACACCATCCAAAAGGGCCCTGTCACTCCACTGACCTTCACATTTCCTACCAGTCCTCTCCACAACATCTCCAAAGTGCCTGGTCATCACCAGGAACGGTACCATCCGTGAAATCACAAATCCAGCAACCTGGCTCTGACTGCAATCTCCTATCTTTCCTATAACTCCTTTTACCTAGATTTTTACTTGCACTAGAGGGGAACCCAGTGAAGAAGGCTGGTGGTCTTGCCCAGTTAGGCAGGCAGAGAGCAGAGTTGGGGAGGTTAGGGTGGAACAATATAATTTAAAAATATACCTTTGGTCTTCATCTAATTCCTGGCACAGAGCTCCTAAGAGCCATGGAATTTTCCGACAGGGGTCTGAAGAGGTCCTTTAGACCACACTTGGTTGAGTTTATGTGGAAGAAGTAAGGGAAGCTGGGGCCCCTTGATGGCCTCAGGCTGGGACTAGTCACCAGAAAGACCAAATGACTAGAGGGTGGCAACTTTCAGCCCCACCCACCAACCTGGGCTTCCCAGGTGGGCAGTAGTGGTAAAGAATCCGTCTGCCAGTGCAGGAGACATAAGAGACACAGGTTTGATCCCTGGATCAGGAAGATCTCCTGGAGAAGGGCATGGCAACCCACTCCAGTGTTCTTGCCTGGAGAATCCCATGGACAGAGGAGGCTGGTGGGCTATAGTCTATGGGGTTGCAAAGAGTCGGACATGACTGAGGTGACTTATCACACCCACACTGATCTGGGAGGTAGGGGGAGGATGGAAATTGAGCTCTATACAAAGTCTTGAAAAAGGAGATGCAGAGTTTCTGACTTGGTAAATACATCTACCTGGCAAGGTGATGTGCCCCAACTCCACAGGGACGGCAGTTCTGGCACTCCCCTCCAGATCTTGCTACTAGAGACGAGCCCCCACCTGCTGTAACTAGAGAAAGTCCGTGCCCAGCAAAGAAAGACCCAGTGCAGCCAAAGACTGATTTTAAAAAACGGAAAAACTTTAAAAAAAAAGTATTGACACATAGTACAATGTGGATGAACCCTGAAAACATTATGCTCAGTGAAAGAAACAAGTCACAAAGACCACATATTATACGATTCTATTTATACAGAAAATATATACGCACTTTTGCCAGAGACATCTGCAAATAGAAAACAACAGAGAGTCATGGCTGTTTAGGGAAAGGGCGTGGGGGCTGAGAAGCAATAGAGAAAGAGTAGAACTTCTCTCCGACACGATGAAAACATTCTAGAATTAATTGTGGTGAAGGCTGCAACTACGAATACACTAAAACCCACCAAACTGTACACTCTAAGTAGATAAACTGCAAGGTCTGTGATTTCATCTTAAAAGTTGTTACAAAACAAAAACAAAACATAAGTGCCTCTTTGAGTGTCTTTCTGTATTGATATAATCCTTAAGATTTCTTCCTCTTCCTTGAAAAAAGCAAGTTGCAGAACATTCCATGCAGGTACTATGCTACCATTTGTGCCAAGAGTAAAAACAGTATTATATCCTACCATTTGTATAAGAGGACTATACACATTCATATGTTTGCACATACAGAAATATAGTAACACTAGTATCTGCTCTACACTTTTAACTGCTTACCATGTCATCTGCTATTTTTCCAAATTTTCTTTAACTGCAAAATTATAACACTGAGACTAAAATTACTGTAGTCAACTTACGAGCAAAGCTGAGTGGACGACAGGGGGGTTGGGATGGTCCATAAATAAAATAAGGCCAGGCAGACATCCCTGATCCTGGACAATGGCTCGTCGGTTTAAAGGATCTGCGGCTAGGTCTCGGAGCTGGTTAACTACAGAGAGAGCATCAGGTTCCTCATTCATGGTGGAGGAGGATGAATTCATCTTCTATGCCATACACGTGGACAAAATCTTCTTAAATTCTGTAGAAATGGATGACAAAATCATTTCTAGGCTACTGAGCTGTTTTACAGCATTTATTAAACCATCAGAATCACAACACCTTCAGAAAGAAATAGATGTATCTAAATCATACAAAAAAACTTAAGAACTAGCAATTCCACAGTCTGGGAACACAGTCAAATGAACATAAGAAAGGCTAACTTAAAAAAAGTTATAAATGTGTGCTCAATGTTTAAGAAACATATATCATCTTCATGATTCCAATAAATTCTTTTTTAGCAATACCAATTTTAACACCAAAGTCACAATAAATAAGATCTTTACAGTTCAAGTTTATAACCCTTGCTACACTTCTCAAGGAGCACCGAAGAACTGATGCTTTCAAACTCCGGTGCTGGAGAAGACTCGAGAGTCCCTTGGACTGCATGGAGATCAAACCAGTCAACCCTAAAGGAAATCAACCTGAATATTCACTGGAAGGACAGCTGCTGACGCTGAAGCTCTAATACTTTGGCCACCTGATGTGAAGAGTTGATTCACTGGAAAAGACTCTGAAGCTGGCAAAGACCGAGAGCAAGAGGAGAAGGGGACGGCAGAGGATGACATGGTTGGATGGCATCACCAACTCAATGGACATGAATTTCAGCAAGCTCAGGGAGATAGCTGCAGAGCCCGGCATGCTGCAGTCCATGGGGTCACAAAGAGCCAGACAAAACAGCGACTGAAAACACTTCACAAAGTGTAACACTGCCAGTGCTTTCTTCCTCTAGGATACTACTGGAGCCCACGTGTCTCAGGGAAAAGCTGCTAGCTGACAGCTTTTTTTCTAATTCACCTGTGAACAAAACCAAGCTTACTGAGATTACAGCAGATAATATCCTCTAAGGAAAGAAGAGAGTCAAAGGTCATAAACACAGAAACCAAGAAGGGTACCTTGCCCTGTGCCTCAGAACAGTGGAATTTGGGAGATCAGAGTGAAAGTGAAAGTCACTCAGTCGTGTCCAACTCTTTTTGACCCCAAAGACTGTAGCCTATCAGGCTCCTCTGTCAGTGGGATTCTCCAGGCAAGAATACTGGAGTGGGTTGTCATTTCCTTCTCCAGGGGATCTTCCCAGCCCAGGGATTGAACTCTGGTCTCCTGCATTGCAGGCAGATTCTTTACCAGCTGAGCCCCAAGGGAAGCCCTGGAAGATAAGGGTGAATCTGAACCAAATCCAAGTACATCTGTCCATCCCTGGGTGGACCATGCTCAGAAGAATGAAACAGAATCTGAGGTGAGGTCATTCATTTGATAGATAAGGAAACAGCCTCCGAGAATTTAAATAGTTTGCCCCAGGTGACAAAAGCTACTTAGTATAGAACTGAGCTAAAATCTTATCTCGACTTGATGAAAACCAAGCTGGAAAGACTGCCTGGAGAAATATCAATAACCTCAGATATGCAGATGGTACCACAGTAATGGAAGAGAGCAAAGAAGAACTAAAAGAGACTCTTGATGAAGGTGAAAGAAGAGAGCGAAAAAGCTGGCTTAAAACATTCAAAAACCAAGATCATGCCATCCCAAAATTTCATGGCAAATAGATAGGGAAACAATGGAAACAGAGACACACTTTATTTTCCTGGGCTCCAAATTGACTGTGGACGGTCACTGCAGCCATGAAATTAAAAGTGATGCTTTTAATGCTTGCTCCTTGGGAGAAAACCTATAACAAACCAAGACAGCGTATTAAAAAACAGAGACGTCTCTGTTTGTACCTTTGTACCTTTGTCAACAAAGGTACATCTAGTCATTTGACTACATCTAGGCAAAGCTATCGTTTTTCCAGTAGTCATGTACGGATGTGAGAACTGAACCATAAAGTAGGCTAAGCGCCAGAGAATTGATGCTTTCAAACAGTGACGCTGGAGAAGACTCGAGAGTCCCTTGGACAACACGGAGATCAAACCAGTCAATCCTAAAGGAAATCAATCCTGAATGTTCATTGGAAGGACTGATGCTGAAGCTGAAACTCCTATACTTTGGCCACCAAGAGCCAAATCACTGGAAAAGTCCCTGATGCTGGGGAAGACTGAAGGCAGGAGGAGAAGGGGGGTGACAGAGGATGAGATAGTTGGCTGGTATCACTGACTCAAAGGACAGGAGTTTGAGCAAACTCTGGGATATAGTGAAGGTCAGGCAAGCCTGGAGCGCTGCAGTCCATGAGGTCAGAGTCAGACACGATTGAGCAACTGAACAATAACCATCTCCTAAACTGGTCAGCTCTTTCCACTTCCCATACCTTCCTTTGAAACCCAGCAGACCTTTTTTTCCCACAAAAGTAAACAAGATTTCTAGATAATGTAACATGATACACATACAAGCCAAAATACAATATATCAAGGAATAATCTTCACAAATCCAGAAAGTTAAAAACAGAAACTTCCATTAAACAAATTACAAATTAAACAAATTAAACTTCCATTAAACAAATTACACAGTGTATTTCTTATTAGGAGGAATATAAAGGTGTAAATACTTACCACAAATTAATGAGTTAGTTTAATGCGAATTCCAAAAACAATGCCAAGTCGGGGGAGGTGGGCTGGGAACAAAATTATTCTGTTAACTCTAGAAAGCCTACTAAAGTTATTTGGGGACTGGAGGGGGTGGGAAAAGGGAAGGTAATAAACAGCAGTAGCCTTCCAAAGTATTGAAATACAAAAAGATATAGAGTAAAGCCATAGTAGGGGCTGAAGGGGCGGTGGTCAAGAGATACTGCTCCCAAGAAAGCTGTTTATACACCCAATCGCAGACTCTATGTGAGTCAATACCCAGGCTCCACCCATTGTTAAATGTGATTTTAGGCAGATCACTTGAACTCTTTGTCTCAGTTTCTTCATGTGTAAAATGAAATTAATCACAGCAGCTCTTAAATGCTATATTGTCCAAATGAAATAACAATACACACTAAAAGGCTCAGGGTACTCAGCATACTCTAAATGCTCAACAAAAATAATGGTTTTAAGTTACAAGGAGTCAAAAAGCAATTAAAAAAAATACAGTTATTCAAAAAATGGTACTGGCATAACTTCTAAGCAACTTTAAACCAGTGCTAAGGATGTTTAGCTCTTAACATATTTTAAAATATCATACCCCAGAAAAAAATTTTGAGAATTTAAATTTCTGAAGTTTGCAAGCAGATGCAAAATATAAAACCAGAGAACACAAGGCCTTAACAGGATAGTACTTGGCAGATAGTTTTCTCAAAATGAAAATACAGTTACTTCAGCAATTTTAAAAAGAATTTCTTTTTTTTTTTAAACTATAGACTGAATACACATAAGACTAAAGGGTTTGCGTCTTACGTGCTTCTACTATCAACAGCATGAACATCCCTGTTTACAAATCAGCTTACAAATGAGCTTTATGTGCTGTCACCAGCACAAACCATATCCAAAAACCAAAACTGCAGAACCAACCACTGGACCTACGATCCAGGAACCACACTTAAGAACCAAATATGCTGGGTGATGGCCTTTGGCATACAACACTGGCCTTGGAACCTGAACCCTCCATTCTCATCTAAAGAGTACTTAAGAGAACCACTCAGTGGGAATGACTCAGTTTCAGTGAGCCTCCCCTGTTCCTTTGAGATGAATGAAAAAATCAGAAGAGTTAAGACTTTCGACTGTACCAGTCCATTGATAAAGAGATGGCACAAATTAGGATTTGCCCAGGAAAAGGTAGGAAATAACACAAGGCATACCTTTTCCTTTCTCTCATTTAGTTCAATTCGGAGAAACAAATCATCATAAGACAATGAATGCACCCCAAACTTTAACAAGCACTCTGATCCCCATGTTAAAAAAAGCCAACAGTAGGTGGGGTGAGGCCTGAGATCTGAATTCTATCCTGCTAGTCAGGGAACCACAAAAACCAGGAATTAGGTGACAGACGTGAAGCACCTGTAGCTAAGCAGCTGCCTGAAAGACAGTCTTTTCTTTCAGCCAAGACATACCACTCAACTCGAAGATGTATTTAACTCTCATATGCAAAGTTAAATATAAATACACAGAACTATGGAAGAAACACACCCACACCCTAAATCCACATTCAGCTAAGTTTTTTTTTTTTTTTTTAATAACTTCAGGCATTGACAGCAGATCTCGCTTTCCCTCTGTTACCACCTAACTGTAACTATTAGAGAAGCTGGGTTACTACCTTTGAGCCTCAGCTTCCTCTCATAATAATCCTGAGTGGTTGTCAGGTTCAAAGAAAACAAGAACTTGGCATGGTGATGAGTACCAGCAATTACCAAACAACAATATTTGATCCTGTGGGGATTCTATCAGGCCAAATGTTAGGGTACACACAAGAAAGGAGCTGCCTGTGTGCACAGGTGCCCCCAAGAACAGCTTTTAAAATACAGAGAAGTGAATGCTGGGCTCGCCTGAATGAAGCTGAACACAACCACCTCCTTCTGCCCCTAAAAGACAAGCGTGGGCACAAAACTAATAGAAAGCCGCCAAAGAACTACCTGGAGAGATGAAGTGACGACGATACCCATTAATGCTGTTAGGGTCAAAATAGTGATAATTAAACTAGGGTTTGTAAAATTGGCGTACAGAAGACGGGGAGGAACTGAACAAAGCTATCATTTTCACAGGACACGTGGGAGCAGGACGCTTTACGGAGCCTGGAGGGACGCACTGCTGGGTCCTGCCTGACCTAAAGGTGGGCAGAGCACCCCCACACAAGAAGATTCGCCGCCTGGGTGCAGGGGCCCGCATTCTGCGGCCTTCCCAGCCCCACCGCTTTGTCTGCCTTCCCCAGACACTACATACCACTCCAGCGCTCTAGGAATTCACAGCCTGCCGCACCATTAGGGCCACATCGACGATGAGGTAGAGGAACCCAGAGGCGCGTAGCAGGGTCAGCGACGACAAACGACCAAGCTGTCTTCTGGAGCCTAGACGCGAGGACGCTGGCGGGGAAAGGCTCTACAGACTCTCCCTCATGACCCAACCACCTCCGCCGATTCTGCCCTCCCATTGGCTGAGACTATTCCAAAGCGAGGATAATCTACCCAATAAGAAACTGCCTTCTTAGACTAAAGCGTTCATTGGTGACCAAGGGAAATACCCAAAGTGTTAAACCGGAGGACCCAATGAGAACCCGGAAAGAGTGAATTGGCCCAAACGACTCTCCGTCTATTAAGCGCTAAAACAAGAAAACTTCATTCCCCAGGAGAAACCCTCGCAGTTTTCCGACTACAATTCCCAGAGTTCCGGCGCTTGAGGAACCTCTCCGCCCCTTCCTTCAGCAATTCAAATTGAGCTTTACTTTTCAAACAACTCATTCAGTTCCAATAAAGCAGTTTTGTAGTACTTCATTCGCTTCTGTGGGTCTTAATTCAGAATCTTTTCAAATTGTTTTGTTTGTGCCTAAGAACATTTGCACTAGCTTCTTGGCAGCGCGAGGGTTGCAAAGGACAGGTTTTTTGTTGTTGTTTTAAAGGGAAGCTTCTAAAAAAATAAATAAATAAAGGGAGGCTTCTTTTCGGAATGACTTTTTTTGGGGGGCGGGGTAAGGAAAAAGACTAATGATGAGATAATTTTCTCCAATTCTTGAAGTATTTTTTAAACATTTTTTTCCATTTAGTTTATCAAAGTAAGGATTTAAATACTTGTTTAATTCATGGCTGTCACTGACATTTTTGTCTAGGTATAGACTTTATATTTTTAAATATTTCTCTCAGTTCAGTTCAGTTCAGTCGCTCAGTCGTGTCCGACTCTTTGCAACCCCATGAATCGCAACACGCCAGGCCTCCCTGTGCATCACAAACTCCCGGAGTTTACTCAAACTCATGCCCATCGAGTCGGTGATGCCATCCAGCCATCTCACCCTCTGTCGTCCCCNGAGTCAGACACGACTGAGCGACTTCACTTTCACTTTTCACTTTCATGCATTGGAGAAGGAAATGGCAGCCCACTCCAGTGTTCTTGCCTGGAGAATCCCAGGGACGGCAGAGCCTGGTGAGCTGCTGTCTGTGGGGTTGCACAGAGTCCGACACTACTGAAGCGACTTAGCAGCAGTAGCAGCAGCAGCCAATGCAGGAGACATAAGAGACCCAAGTTCGATCCCTGGGTGGGAAAGATCTCCTGAAGGAGGGCATGGCAACCCACCCTAGTAGTCCTGCCTGGAGAATCCAATGGACAGAGGAGCCTGGTGGGCTATAGTCCATAGGGTTCCACAGAGTCGGATACAACTGAAGCAGGCATCCACGCATCCTTGGTTATTCTTATCTTCCTCTTAATTAATTTGAGCAAAAGGAGCAAGGTTGAGTAGAAAAGGTCTCTTTCACACCATTTGACCTATATCAAAAATACAAAAACATGTTTGGCTGGTTTCTGCTTCCCAAAGTCACAAGAGGGAGTGGTGGTAGTAAGTAAATGTTATGTTGTTGTGCTCAGTAGTGTCTGACTCTTTGTGGCCCCATGGACTGTAACCCGCCAGGCATCTCTAACCACAGAATTTTCCAGGCAAGAATAGTGGAATGGGTTGCCATTTCCTACTCCAGGGGATCTTCCCAACCAGGGATTGAACCCTGAGTCTCTTATGTCTCCTGCACTGGCATCAGGCTCTTTACCACTAGCGCCACCTGGGAAGCCCCAGTAAGTGAATACTGAGTCTAAAATAAAAAGGAAACAAAAACTATGTATAATGTCTGGTGGTAGAAGCACCAGCCTCATTTGTAACAATCAGCCAGACCAATTAACAGCTAGAACGGAAAAAGAAAGAAATAGGGGGGAAAAGGAATTGTAAATGTAGAAAGATGTGAGAAACATATGTCTAAACAGCAGTCAGGTTAAACGTAGCCCATTGATTGAGTAAATGAAATTTCATTTGGTATTGTTATTGAAAACAATAACCCAGGAAAATAAACTTGCTACTTTTGCTAGATTAATTTGCACATTTGAAAGGCGAAAGACATTTGGGGTATTCCCAACTAGTAATTGATAACATGGGTTTTTAGCACCATCCAGAATAAAATATTTAATAGAGTCTTTGACTTTTTTAAAATCATACTTCTGATTTCATAGTATTGAAAAAGCCAGTTCTTCCTAGCAAACTGCCATTATGGAGGGTAGGTGACTAACGTTAAAAGGCAGGGCATACAATCAAAAAAACAATTACTAGTTTCATAAGCCACAAGAATGTCTTTTGAGATTTTAAGAATTTATGTTCCCATGCTAAAACTGAACTCAACACCAGTGAAGTTACAGTACCTGCCATTGTGAGTCATAGCTTGTGTTTAACCTCAGATGTCTCGCCACAGGACAGAGCTGGAATGTCAGGTTCCTCAATGGCTGTGTTGCTTAAGACATGAATCACACAACGGCAGTTTTATTCATTCGATTCATTAACAACCATTTTTGGAACACATACAATGTGCCAGAGATGATCTGAGCAATGGATTCAAAGATGAAGACAATCACTCCTCTCAAAGAGCTCAAGGTCGAATGCAGTGGTTCCTAAAACTTTTTGATCAAGCACTGTTTTTTTTTTGAGCACATAGCTCTGATATATATATATATATATATATATATATATGATTTATTTATAAATTCTATACACACACTATCAAACTACTGTGTAAGACTTAAAAACATGTCAAAATAGAAAAGTTTAAAGGATGAGAAATAAATAGAAGCACTGAAATATAAAATTGTATGAACATTATAAAGATTTAGCCATATATCATTTACCAAAGAATTAAATTCCAGATAGATTAAAAACTCAAATGTAAAAAGTGAAATATTAAAAATCCTTTGGGAAAATCTTGGAGACTACAATGAACAAGGAGGGGGAGAGCTTAAATAAGAATGGAAATCAAGAAGTTTACAAGAAGAAGAAAAGATGGACATATTTGACTTGTTTTTAAAAACTTTTTTGTATGGAAAAAGGATACATAAACAAGGTCAATAGGTAAGAGATTTGGGAGTAACTTGATGATCAAATAGAGAGTAACATTCAAAAACTGATTACCAATTGTCAAGAAGGGCATTAACAACCCTATTGAAATTGGGTGCACCTCTCCTAAACACATTCAGCTGTCCTTTATCTTTTAAGTGTCCCTATCATGGGTGTTCATTGGAAGGACTGATGCTGAAGCTGAAACTCCAATACTTTGGCCACATCATGCGAAGTGTTGACTCATTGGAAAAGACCCTATTGCTGGGAAGGATTGGGAGCAGGAAGAGAAGGGGACGACAGAGGATGAGATGGCTGGATGGCATCACCAACTCGACGGACATGAGTTTGAGTAAAGTCTAGGAGTTGGTGATGGACAGGGAGGCCTGACATGCTGCGATTCATGGGGTCGCAAAGAGTCGGACACGACTGAGCGACTGAACTGAACTGAACTGACTGATCATGGGTACTTCACTGTCTTACCCAGTGGTCTTTTACCAACTAGGTTTTCTTTGATTCTAAAGTCAGGAACTCTTGAGGCCCATTTCAGTGTGATATATTTTTTTTATAAACAGGCAATCAGAGCTGTCAAAAAAGCAAAACTAGAGAAAGTGTCTTGTTTATCTACTTATTCATGTGTTTTTGGCTGCAGAAGGTCTTGGTTGCTGCATGAAGGCTTTCTCTAATTGCAGTAAGTGGGGGCTACTCTCTAGCTGCAGCACGTGGGCTTTTCATTTTGGTGGCTCAGTTAGTTGCAGAGCCAGGGCTCCAGGCATGCGGACTCTGCAGTTGTGACACATGGGTTTAGTTGCTCCACGGCAAGTGGGATCTTTCCAGATCAGGGATCCAACCAGTGTTCCTGGCATTGCAAGGTGGATTCTTCATCCCTAGACCACCAGAGAAGCCCTGCCTTAGTATTTTACAAACGTTACACAACTAGTCCTCAAGACTACCCTTTGAAGGTGACTCTTTTCCCCACTGTCAAGAAATTGAGGCCCACAGAGGCTGGCTGGCTTGCCCAACGCTACATGGCTGCTAGTGGCAGAAGCATATTTGCATATAGGTCTGTCTGACTTAGAAGCCCATAGTCTTTCTATCAATACAACAGAATTCTGCCTTACCATCAACAAATATGAATACATAGGAACCTAATCTCTTGTTAAATCTCTACATAGAAACTGGCTGACAACTGACTTTGGTCACCTTTTTATTCCCTAATATACACTTAATAAGGATAAATCTCCTTGCCTTAAT